AAGAGTATAAAGTCCGCCACCAAGTATCGAAATTGAAAACCATGAGGAATACGAGGTAGAAAAGGTACTAGATTCACGGCGTAATAGGAGAAAATTGGAGTATTTAGTGCATTGGAGTGGATACGACATCAATGAACGAACGTGGGAGCGTGCCAAAAATCTTGCCAATGCACCAAAAAAGGTACAAGAATTTCATCAACGATATCCTCATAAACCTAAGCCGATTCAACGATAGCTTCTTCCTGAAGCTTGCTCATCAAGTAACATAAAAAGGGGGGAGGGCACCTCCAAAATCCATAGTTCGATAGTGTAGAACTTTGTTAGCAACTATAATTTGCTCTCATCATTTTAGCCTTTGGACATGGATAGTCAAGATACTATACTTGTTATGTCATCTCAAGCGACTAGCTCACGAAGACGACCGCGAGATGAAGAACCGCCTGCACCACGACGACGTCGGAGGATACCGAGCAACAGATCGCTAGTAATTGTATTTGAGGTCGAGCCTGCCTACGACGGTCAGCCAGAAGGTGTGTTTGGAGGACAGTTTCACAATGAAGACACATAAGTCCACGCTTGGTCAGAGGTTGAAGGTGTTGGTCACTACCATTGGCTCCAAGGGCCGATGAATCATTTGCCTTGCGAACAACAATTGGAATTCATAGCGGATGTGATGCGACAGATTTTCATTTTCTTGCGTTGGTATTGACTGATAACAACATTGCTTCTCGGAGACCTCGAAGTTAGAAGAGGAGGTGATGTCATGGACATACATTGGAAGATTCTTCGAATATTCTTCTAGAATATTCTCTAAAGATTCTCTAAAGATTCCTTTAGAAAGATTCTTAGAATATTCCCTAAAGATTCTCTTAGAAGGTTCTAGAATATTCTTAGAAGGTTCTAAAATATTTTGATAGATTCTAGGAAGTTGCTCGAGAAGTTTCCTAATTAGTAGAAGTTGTTGGAGAAGCGTCCTAGTTAGCGGAAGTAGCTCGAGAAGCTTCCTATTCAGTAGTATATATAGGAGTCGAGGCTGAAGGGTTCTTCAGTCTTGACAACACATCTCTTGGAGTTCTAGCTCACCTTTCTGGTGTTGTTCTTGTACTCATCTGTTTAATCTAGTTCTGCCACTTCTTCTTGAACTTCTTGTTAGATTTCAAGTCTGTATTTTGTGTCGGTGACAGTGGACTATCGAGGCCTCAACAAGATAATAAAGAAAAATCGTTACCCATTACCCTTGATTTCTAGTCTCTTAGAACAACTTGGACATGCGAAGATCTTTACAAAAATTGATCTAAGGGGAGCTTATAATCTCGTACAAATCAAGGAAGGAGATGAGTGGAAGACAGCATTCCGTACAAGGTATGGTCATTTCCAGTATAATGTCATGCCTTTTGGTCTTACCAATGGTCCAGCAGTTTTCCAACATATGATGAATGATATTTTTTGAGAACACCTCGACGATTTTGTTGTCATCTACTTAGACGATATTCTAATATTCTCTAAAAATGAGGAAGAGCATGAGAAGCATGTTCGTTTGGTCTTGGAGAAACTACGCAAGCGAGGACTATATGCCAAATTAGAAAAGTGTTTATTTCACCAGACGGAGATGGAGTTTTTGGGGTTCATTGCGACTAAAGAAGGTTTGAAGATGGACCCCAAGAAAGTAGAAGCAATCATGTCTTGGGAGGTTCCAAAGACGGTTAGAGACGTACAATGCTTTCTTGATTTTACTAACTTCTATCGGATCTTCATCAAGAATTATTCTCAAGTTGCTGCTTTTCTCACTCGATTAACATGCAAGGATGAGTTGGAATGGGGACCTTTGGCGGAGAAGGCATTTCAAGACTTGAAGACAGCATTTACTACAGCTCCAATTTTGGTACATCCAGACTTTACAAAGGCCTTCTATTTAGAGACTGATGCTTCAGATTTTGTTTTGGGAGCTGTGCTTTCACAAATGAGTGAAGACAAGAAGCTCCATCCAGTTGCATTCTATTTTCGAAAGTTCTCTGTTGCTGAAATCAATTATGAGATCCACGATAAGGAACTTCTTGCTATAGTGGATTCTTTCGAAGAATGGCGTCACTTTCTTGAAGGAGCTGCACATCCAGTGACCGTATATACGGATCACAAGAATTTGGAGTATTTCATGTCGGCTCGAGTTTTAAATCGGCGTCAAGCTCGGTGGAATATGTCGCTATCTAGATTCAATTTTATTATCACTTATCGACCTGGAAAGCAGCAAGGACTATCCGATGCTTTATCAAGGAGATCGTATCTTGCACCAAAGGCTGGAGAAGCAGCGTTTGATCAACAATGTACAACGTTATTGAAGCCAAAGAGATTTCAACTTTGTGCTACTATTGTATCATTTGATGCTGACTTCCTAAATCAGGTACGTGCTATGACCATTAAAGATTCAGTAGCCATTGATATCAAGCAACGTACCAATGATGACAAGTTGAAGGTGGAGGGAGATCTTTTATACTTTGAAGAGCGATTGTACATTCCAAAAGGACCAGCACAATTCCGAATTCTTCAATCTCGCCATGATTTTCCAGCTGCGGGACATTTTGGATTCAACAAGACCTTGGAGCTTATTTCCCGAGATTTTTGGTGGCCCCAAATGTAGAAGGATGTGAAAGATTTTGTCCTCTCCTGTGATATCTATTCAAGATCCAAGAATCCTCGGCATCGCCCTTATGGACTTCTACAGCCATTGCCAATTCCACGTCGATCATGGTCTTCAATTTCTATGGACTTCATCACGGACTTGCCATCATCAAACTCATTTGATAACATCTTTGTCGTGGTAGATCGGCTTACAAAGATGGCACACTTTGTTCTTTGTAAGTAGACATCGTCCAGTGAAGTCACAGCAAGACTCTTTCTCAATAATGTGTATCGATATCATGGACTACCAGATGATATCATATCAGATCGAGGTACCCAGTTCGTGTCAAAGTTTTGGAGATCTCTCTTTGGAATATTGAAGGTGGATATCAAGCTTTCTTCAGCTTTTCATCCTCAAACTGATGGCCAAACGGAACGGGTGAACCAAGTCTTGGAGCAGTACTTACGATGCAGCATCAACTATCAGCAAGACGATTGGACTGCATATCTACCGCTAGCCGAGTTTGCATATAACAACACCCTCCATGCATCGACTCAACAAACACCATTCTTTTCCAACTATAAGTATCATCCGAAGCTTGATTTATTGAGTCCATCAACAAATAACAATCCAGCAGCTGAAGGATTTGCGAAGCAACTATCAGAGCTTCAAACTATGTTGAAGCTTCAATTACAATCCGCTCAAGAATCCTATAAGACGTCTGCAGATAGATTTCGGAATCAAGCACCTACTTTCAAAGTTGGAGACAAAGCCTGGCTTCTTCGACGAAATATCAAGACCAAGCGACCATGAAATAAGTTGGACTATCGAAGATTGGGACCATTTATCATCCAGAAGCAAATTAATCCAGTGGCATACCGACTGGAGTTACCGGCTTCTATGAAGGTACATCCAGTCTTTCATGTTTCTCTGTTGGAACCTTATCGAGAGTCATCTTTTCCTGGAAGAGTGCAATGTCTGCCACCTAGTATTGAAATCAAGAACCATGAAGAATACGAGGTTGAAAAGGTATTGGATTCACGGCGAAGGTGAGGAAAGTTAGAATATCTTGTTCATTGGTGCGGCTATGACATTAATGAGCGAACGTGGGAGCCAGCTAAAAATCTTGCAAATGCGCCACAAAAGGTACAGGAGTTTCATCAACGACATCCTGATAAACCTAAATCAATTCGACGATAGCTTCTTTCTGAAGCTTGTTCTCCCAACAATATAAGAAAAGAGGAGAGCACCAACAAAATTCGTAGTTGATGTAGTTATTTTCTCCAAGATAGATCGTAGTTTGGTCTTTTGATATGAATAGCCAAGAGATAGATACTATGCCAGTCAGAGTATCGCAACCGAGTAGCTCACGAAGGTGACCCCGAGATGAAGAACTACATGTACCACGACGACGACGGAGGATACCGAGTAATCGATCACTAGTGATCGTATTTGAGATCGAGCCTGCTTACAATGGTCAGCCAGAAGGCGTGTTTGCAAGACAATTTCACAATGAGGACACGGAAGTTCATGCTTGGTCAGAAGTCGAAGGCGTGGGCCATTACCATTGGCTTCAAGGGTCGATGAACCACTTGCCTCGTGAACAACAGTTGGAGTTCATAGCAGAAGTTATGCGATAGATCTTCATTTTCTTGCGTTGGTACTGATCATCAACATTGCTTCTCAGAGACCTCGAAGCTAAAGGAGGGGGTGATGTTAGGGACATATTCCTTAGAACTTTCTAGAAGAGAAGCCTCTGGAACCTTTTAGAGAGAAGTTTCTAGAAGCTTCTAGAAAGGAAGTCTCTGGAACCTTATAGAAGAGAAGTTTCTAGAAGCTTCTAGAAAAGAAGCCCCTGGAACTTTCTAGAAGCTTCCTAGTTAATAGAAGTAGCTCGAGAAGTTTCTAGAACCTTCTAGAAAGGAAGCCTCTGGAACCTTCTAGAAGCTTCCTAGTTAATAGAAGTAGCTCGAGAAGCTTCCTAAGTAAGAGTATATATAGAGATCGAGGCTGAAGAGTTCTTCAGTCTCGACAACACATCTCTTGGAGTTCTAGCTCACCTTTCTGGTGTCGTTCTTGTACTCATCTGTTTAATCTAGTTCTGCCACTTCTTCTTGAATTTCTTGTTAGATTTCAAGTCTGTATTTTGTGTCCGTGACAACAGTCTTGTACACATGTACAAAGTTGTACATCAAATTGATAACTAAACATCCTTCTACAAAGTCAAATCAACAACTATGTCTTGTATTTAGTATTATTCAAAGAAAATCTTCAAACTTCAATATTTAGTCCAATAACCTTTTGCTTCCAAAACAGCTGAAATCCTTCTTGGCATACTTTTGTATGTTTCTCACAATCTTTTGCATCAAAACTAGGATAAATACTACAAACATTCTCCCACAATTCTTGAACACCTCTTGGCCTTGGAGTGACTTGGCTTAAACGCTGTTTGAGAAGAGCCCAAAAATGTTCCATTAGATTCAAATCTGGAGATTGAGCTGGCCATCGAAGGAGCTGAAATGGCTGTGAAGAGAGCCAAAACTGAACACTTTTTGCCATATGTTTGGGGTCATTATCATGTTGAAAAACCACCTTAGTAGGATCTAAGTTGTAATTCTGTGTGGTACTTTGCAAGTAGGTTTCTAAATATTTTTTGTACAAGTGTTGCTCCATTCTACCTTCAATTTGATACCAAGCACCCGGTCCAAAAGCAGTCATACAATCCCAAATTATAATTGAACCACCACCATGTTTGACAGTTTGACTAACATGTTTAGGTCCAGATCGTTCTCCTTCTCTCAACCAACACCAAGACCTACCATCTGAGTTGATTAGGTTAATCTTTGTCTCATCACTGAAAATAACCCATCTCCAATCATCAATGGTCCAATTTTTGTATTTATGAGCAAAACTCAACCTTGCAAGAACATGTCTTTTGGCAAGTAGAAGCTTCTTTTGTTGCACACAAGCACCCAAACCAGCTTCTGTCAAACCACGCCTCAAGGTGATGTCTGAGAAGTGTTTACCTGTTTTTTCTCGAAGTTGTTTTGCAGCTGCACTTGCCGTTTTGAGACAACCAGCAGTGACAAGGTGCACAGCAAGTCGCTTCTCTTGCTCTCCTAAAACCTTTGGACGTCCTCCTCTTTGCTTTTCTATTTCACCACTAATCTCCCACCTCAGATGAGCTACTGAAGACTGACTCATTCCAAGTAAGTCTGCAACTTTTCTTGTAGAAACACCACTCCTAAGCTGCACCAATGCTTGGTGCTTCAATGATTCACACAACCGAGGCATAGAGATACAATTGACAAATCAACTTTCACTATAGATAGTACACAACAAGAGCAACACAACAAACAAAAAATGCCCTCAAATCTTGCAACAAGGAGTGTACATTGAAATTTCGAAATTCAGCAAGAAGAAGCAACCAAAACTGAGTATGCACGTCTCTGTGCTTCTACAACACTTTTTTCATAAACCCTACCTCAAATGATAATGAGATTTTTCATCCATGTAGAGGACTGGATGAATACACACAATAAAAAAGTAATTCTATCAATTGACTTATGTGTCAGTTGGAAGGATCAATGAACTATGAGTGTTCAGATTTTGTACTCGGTTTTGTTTGTCACTGTAACTAATATTTTAATGTTCTATTTTTTTAAGTATTTCTACACTATTCACCACATATTCTGATTTTAAGTACTCTAAATGAATCTTTTTGTCCTAAAACAAATAATGAGTAAATTTAATGACTCACACATGCAATATATATATATATAAAACTAAAATTAATCTTTACATTTTCCAAGCTAAGATTCTTAGCTTTGATTTTTTAAAGAATCACAACACCATCTTATAATCTTCTAAAATATCAAAATGATTACATAATTAATTTTGAAGTATGTTTTGAATATATTTTATAGTAAACTACATCAATTTTTTTAATTAAAAATTAAAAATATACATAACTTTAAACATAAAAAATAAATATTTTGAATTAAATTTAAATCTAGATAAAAATACAAGCTTTCTATTATAATTACTAAACTTATCTTTTAAACCATATACACCATATTTATTAAATATATATTTTTTTAAAGAAATAAAAATATTAAGATAAAAATATCAAATTTTTATATAATACAAATAATGCATTGAAAAAGTAATAATTAGATTAAATTATTAAATATTTTTTTAATGAAAAAAATATATATTTTTCTTATCTATCAATGAAAAAAATCCAATCTTTAGTAAAAATTCTTATTTTTGATATAATAAATAATTATATATATATATATATATATAAAATTCTTCTAAACCAATTATTTTTTCTTTTATCTTATTGATAATTTATTTGTAATAATCTATACTATAAAATATAATTTATCAAATATTATAATCCAACTATATAACAATATCAGTAAGTTGGTTCTAAAAGCACATTATTAGACAAAAATGTAGATATTATAACTTTTTCTTTGTTTTTTCTTCTCAATGTATTTTATCCTACTTAAAATTACTTTTAAAATTTTAAACATTTTCTACAATCACAATATATTCTTTTATCTTATATTGACATCAATCCGTATTTTATTTTATTTTATTTTATACTACTAAGTACATCAACTTTTTTTTTATTTTTTAATTAATTTTATTTTTTAAAACCAATCTATCCATCAGTAAGACCAATTTCTACAAATATAGAAAAATCATGCTCTCATCTAAGTGCAATTTGAAACTATTCGATAAACAATTTGAAATTAGTGTCATACAAAATATATAATTGAAGTGATTCTAAAAACACATGTTACTAATTTAATTGTTAAATTATAATAATTATTTTTTTGATATTCTCAAAAGTTAAAAGATATAAGCCAATTAATCAATAAAATATTAAATATAAACAACATATTTTAATTTGACTCAATATACTCTATTTTATATTTTTAAATTTACTTGGTATACAATCCTAAAAAATTTGCAAAAAAAAAAACGTGTGTATCTTTGTTATTATAAAATTTATAATTTAAAATATTTGATATATTTTTTATATATTTATATATATTTTTAGATTATATTAGAAAAAAATACTAAAAAAATCTAAAAATTATATATTTTAGATACTTAAATATTTTGTTGAAGAAAATATTCTATAAAATTATTCTTATACTATCTTTATAATGAATTTAATACAGATATTAGAAGAATGCTTAAAAATAATAAAAAAATATTTCAAAAAAGCTTGTAGATGTTGTGTTAATAAAAAAATAGATAAGAAAGTCTATTTTTTAAAAAAAATTCAACATATGTATTTTAAAATTATGTTATAAAATCAAAAGTAACTATAAACTAGAATTTCTTTTTTCTAAATTAAAACTTAAATAAAAATTAATTACCAATTAAGAAAAATAATAAATTTAATTAAAATTGACCATGATTAAATTTTGGAAATTGAGATTTTAATTCTTTTATTGTAATCATTTGGAATTAATTAGAGAGATAGAAAAAATAAATTATGAAGAATTTTCTCATTCTTAGGTTGCTCTTATTGTGTCAAAAACACAACAAAACCTTCAGAGACCATAATTCTTCCTTCTAGATTGTATTAATTAATGTTTTATTTATAATCAAATTATAATAATGAAGGAGAATTTTAAACATCTATTTTAGTAATTATGACATTGCCAATAGATTAAAAAAGATGAAATTAGCTTGGAATGCTCTTTTAAACAATGTCAATTGATAAAGTTGCATTTGTAAAAATTAGATCGACTTTGAACAATTTTCATCAACATAGATTTTTTCTCAATTGATTAAGGATTAGATCTATAATTTCCAAGACATTTTAATGAGTATTGTACTATTAATTAGATGAATTTATTATTAGTCAATGGTCCTAAACTATCCATTAGCCTAAATTAAGCTAAAAATATATATTTTAATAAGATAATTAATCATATTAATATTAAAATTTAAAAAAATTGAAGAAATATAGAAAAAATAAGTATAATCAACTAATAGAGTTTTCAATAGCATTCATAAGGTACTCCAACCTTTTAGCAAAATATCACAAAACTAATCCTTTACATTTTAGATTTTTTTTAGATTTTTGGAATTTTCATGATGTCCTTGTACTATAAGTTATTTTTTTCAATCTGAATATATTTACTTAAAGGTCTAATTATATAAAAATAGTAAAAGTTTTAAATTTTATTAATTATAAAAATAATAGTGATAATCCAATAAATATTTTGTAAAATTAATTCACATATTTTGGAGTTCTAATTTTAAAAAGTGAAGTAAGCCTCAAATACCTCTTTTCACTTGAATTGCTATAATCTTTAAATGCAAGTTCTTTTCAGTTGAAACTATAGTGGAATTAAAAGTAGACCTCATTACATCTCAATCTATACCAAAATTATTGCAAAAAGTAGAAAATTATATAATCAAAAACATCACAATAGACAAAGATATGATTTGGGCATGGTGATATTGAACTTTTTGTATATGGTGTTGTATAAATAGCCAACATGTATTGCAACATGTCAAGTGCCATAAACCATGACAAATATGAAATAAAACACATGCATAAATGCATCCCAAATATACCATTACAAAGTATAAATCTATCATATGGTAGATTTATAAATCTATAAATTTGTGGTTATTAAAGATTTTTAAATCTTAAAAATTTATTGATTACATGATCTTAATGTGAGTGCTACCAATAACTTGATTGATTCCTTACAATTATTTTATTTTCTTTTCAATTTTTGTTAATTATAATTATAATTTAATAAATAAACGTATCAAAATAAATATATTAGCTTTAAATAATATTAAGGGTAGTGTGAGTGGATTTTTTTTCCCTCACTTAAATTTAATTTAATTAGATTATAGCTTAGATTAGAGCCCAATATTAATTGATGTGGAGATGCAAATCATATATAAGATAGGAAAAACAAAATGATATAATGATCAAGATTAATCCAACAACACAACAAGTTAGATACACATTTTTATGATTTAATTTTTAGCATTTGTAGTTCATTTAATTAAGTACCTTCCAAGACTTATTCCATCAAACTTAAACTCTGAAAATTAAAAATTAGAATAAAATAAAATAAAATAAATAATGAATACCACACTGGAGTGCTAGTCTAAGGCTTTCCAAGAGGGTATTAACTATGTAAATCAGAGTTCTATATAGGAAGTTATCTATGGATGAAGTTTTGATGACAAAACTTCATCTAGAATTGAAAATTTAGTAATAAATAGCCTTAAATATTTAAGTTCAGCACTAACATGATGATAAGATTTTTAAGATAAAAGATGAAAGTTGGAAGATTAAAAAATTAAAATTAAAATATAAAATTAAAAATAAAGTTAGAATCAATAATTAAAAGTTAAGTGAAAGTTCAAAAGTAATAATAGTAAAAGTTTAAGGGTTAAGGTTAAAAGTAAAAAGTTTGAAGTTGAAGATTAAAAGTAAAAGTTTAAATATTAAGATTAAAAGCAATAGGAAAAAAATTAAAAGATCAGATTAATTTTTATTTTTTATTTTATTTTATCCTTAAAAGGTAAAAATGGATGGAAGAAAAGAATTTAAGATTAATTTCCAAAGTGAGGTAAAAATTTCTTTGAAATTATTAAATAATATTTATTAATGATAATAAGACGAATAAGTGATAATATGGCAATTTAGGTGCTAAAGGATGTGGTTAGAAGGTGATTAGGGAAGGAAAATTTACTTAGAGTATGTCGAGTTGAGGGCAGCAGATCCCTTGTCGTTCGGAAATTTGCCAACATTTTCCTATAGCTCCTATGCACTTGAAATTTTTTGTGGTTGAGGTTGACTTAGAGTTTATCCTATCTACCAAATTTCATGGTGATACGAGGTTTGATGTCCGAAATATGTGTTTTCAAAGCAAGGTGACTTGAGCTGCCCAGGTAGCAGACCCCCTTCTACTTAAAAATTCACTAAAAATCGGATAATAGTTTAAAATTGACAAATATAATTATTCCTAAAACCACACTTAGTATAGTTCCTTTTCAAAAATAAATTAGTAAAAAAATGTTGGTAAATACTAAGTTAAAAGTTTTCAAATTTGGTTGTGTAAAACTATCAAGGTAGTAGATCCCTTTGCATTTAAAAATTCATTTAAAATTTGATATAGCTTGGAAATTATTGATTTAAATTATATAGTAAACTAAACTTTAGAGTGCATTCATTTCAACAATCCAAATCAAAGTTGAGTTCAAGTTCACCGAGTTATAGATTTTTTAAGCCGATGCTCCTACTCTGCTAAGCTAGTAGACCCTTGCCATCTTGAAAATTCGCCAAAAATTCATCACAACTTCAAACCAAGCGTGCATTATGCCGTTACAAAGCTAAAAGTGATTAGAATTTTCTTACAAATTTTCATAGAAATAAAATAAAAAGAGATAGACTGAGCGAGTTAAAACCAAGGCCATATAAGTTTTAAGAAAAAGATTTGCATTCACAAGATGAGGGGACATTTTGCCATGGCTTCGCCACAAGAAGATGGAGAGAGAGGGAGCTTGGCCACCCAAGCCCTCTTAACCAGGTGGGAGGAGGCCCAAAAGTGGCAGATACATCTTTACCATCAAAATTAGAAAATCCCTAATCAAGATCAAGGGTCCTCAATAACTCTCAGCCTAATCCAGATTTCAAGGCTGGAAATGACTAGAACTCAAAAACTAACACCACCAATGTCTCTAAAACATATTTTTATCCTCAGATCAACTATTCACAAGCCCAAATCTGAGTTCTAAATCATAAGAACCAATTAATTTGCTAATTTAGTTGTAAATTTCAACTACAATTCTAATTTTAATTAACCTACTTGGAAATCAGCAAGGACTCTTGCCATCGAAGCCTTCATAATCACCATTCTTCAATTTTAAGTCCCTTAAGCATGAACTCTTGGAAAATCCAGAATCTAATTGCAAATTGGCCTTGAATTAATACACTTGTGATATTTTCCAATTTTTATTTTTTCCAACTTCAAGTAGTGATTAAAATCACTATGAGAGGAAACTCCACCAAAAAATTTAGCTTATCTCCATCCTTTTAAGATCATCATTAATTTAACAATTAGACTTTATATTTTTAATCCAATTAAATTGCAAAATAAAATTTAAGCTTAAAAATCTCAAAATTAATTAAGAAGATAGAGTAATTAGGTTTAAGGGACTTTCTAACCATAGTCAAATTAAACATTAACTTTTGGATTGAAAATTAAGATTGTGGATTAATTTAAGATATAATTCCTAAGAATTAGAAAAGAAATTCTACTAAAATTGTAGTTTTATCACTAAAAAAAGATTTAAAGTAATTCAAGAAATCATAGACCTTTTAAATTTATTATTTTTTCTTTTGAGTTTTAAAATAGTCAATGAATCTATTAATTAGAAGTATCCATCTAATTAATAACCTAAAGATATGATCAAAGTCATAATTAACTAAATACTAATTTGGACCTATTAATTTATTATATTAGCATTAAAATTACTAAAAATATGTTAAAAATTACAAAAAGAATTATAGCTAATCATTGGAGCTTTTAATTATATTCACAGGTAGTTTAAAGCTAATAGTTAATCTATTTAATTTTTACTTTGATAGTCATTAGAAAGTCTTGAAGATAATAATTTTAATTATTGATTAAAAAGTAAAAAATTTAGGTGGTAAAAAACCACTCAATTTGATTATAATTTTTAAAGATCCTATTATATTAATTAATACTTTGGTCTTAGGTCTTTTCAACATAATTTTATATTCTAAGACGATTTGAGAGGATCAATTTCTATTTTTAACTACCTAATTGTCTTTTCAAAAATATTTACTCCACCCACAAGGTTTTTTAATTTTTATTGGTCTTTATTAATATTCTTTCTAATGAATTAGTGATAGTTCAAGAAGTTGTTCTAGACTAATTTTACCATCTTTAATTTTTTGATGAGGCCAAATTTTCCAAAAGAAATGTTTGAATATTTTCTCCATTTTCTAATCTAACAATTAGTAGAAAATTGATTAGTATTCTCTACAAGAGGTAAATATTATTTCTGTAGGTTTTTCTATATTTTGAACACAATAGAAGCAACTTGAAGTCCAAAAAATCCTCCCTAAGATTTTTTTTTCTAATTTCTTAATTAATTCTATCCAATAATAATTAAAAAGAAACAATATCTTGTTCTTCAAGGGCCAATGATGCTAACTCTAGTTAATCTTATCATATTTTTCCAATAGGTTATTTTTTCTAATTGGCTCTCAAACTGAAATCTCTCTTAATTTTCTTCAAATTTCTAAGATAGTTAAAAAAAACCTTAAAAATTCAATGGAATTTACCCAAAAAAATCCCACAATTTCTAAAATTTCCTTCCAGACTAATTGATAGGTCAAGAATTCAATTCCGGGGTTATTTTTCCATTGCAGATTTGATTTAGAAGATATTCAAAACCCCGACCCCAATTCCCAAGATATCCCAAACCCCAATCTTTTTTCTTCTAATATCTTTCAAAAATCATAAAAAACTTACTCTTATTTTCAAAATTTGAAAAACTATAACGTAAAAGAAATCCAATGCTCTCCATTCAATGTTAAAATCTTCATCAATTTCTAAATCAATCACCTATCCAAACTCAATTTCCAACATACATTTGATGATTCTAACCGCCACATTCGAATAAAATAAAATATAAAAGACAAAAAAAATATCTTAAAATCAAAATAGACTAATAATAGCAGTACAAACACGCACATGGTAATACTTTCTACTTAAAAAATCTCAAGTGTTATTTTTTAAATCAAAGACCAATCTGTTACTATAAATGATGAAAATGTTGATATTTTTAACCATTTTTTTTAAATTTCATGGTAATCCATTGATAAACCAGTTGGAGCACCTTGAAGACCGCACCACTAAGCTAATTAGGGTCTTTGAAGACAATAGTGAAGACTAATGTTGGGGACTCTTTATTTTCTCCTGTTTTTTTGTTTGTTCACCTCCTTTCCATGCCTACGATCGTAGATTTGGGGTTTTGGGACCTTGTCTTCTGTTCAAGCCTTCCTTCTCCTCTCTCGCTCCCTTGAATGGCATCGACCACCGACTGAGTTTCCCTTCTTCCGATCTGTTTCGCGATGACTCTTCTCCTTCCGATTTGCTACTTCTTGCGGTAAGTCCGCTCCATCTCAGCCTTTAGCCAGTGTGTGATAAAAGAATGTTAGAGTTTGTTCAGAGGGAGTTCAGAGTTAAGGTGCGCAACTGTCATCTACGCCGCATCGTCTTCTTTCTTTGAATTTGTCTCGATCCCTATTGTATGCGCCTAAATCATTACTAAAGTGGAGACTTCCTCGTGTGGATTTGATGTCACCACCGCGCCAATATGGTGGGAAGGATGGCCTTTCTTATATGAGAGTGTCAGCCCAAAATCTAGAGTTTATGATGCGCTCTCTGGTGTTGCCTAGCAGCGCAAGGAGAGAAGACGGCCCCTGATCGATAGTGGTCATCACTGACGTCAAAAGCGATGACAATCTGGCTGCACTGGCAGTTCTCAAGGAATACTATTGGTTGGGGCTTGTTGAATTGCGTGCCGTGATAGCCAACCGGATGACAACAGACAACAGACAAGAAGACGAATGTATGAGGTAGCGATCACTTTTTCTTTCACCACAATCAACCTTAAGTACTATCTCCTCGCTTTCTGATTTAGCTCCTCCCTGCAGCGACCTGCTTTGCCGTGTTCTAAGGTCTTGGACACATTGAAATACAGGGTTATGTTAATATCTTCATTCTTTGTTTTTCAGCCTGGGAAAGCCCTCCTCCGTCATGAATTGAAATGCCAACCTTATTGTTTTGTACGAGGACTGAATCACGGCTCTGGACTGCTTACTGTGTGTGTGGTGGCCGAGCTTGGAATTGGAAGCTAGCAAACCTTTGACTCAGTGATGGATAGCATGGAAATCGAGCTTGGAAGCGAGCTGCTTAAGAACAGCTTGTGTAGGGAATGTGAGTTCAGATCAGGCGACTTCCTAAAATATTTCAAAAATCAAGGAGGTCTGGTTTCAAGCGAGCCGGTCAGATAGTGGGGGTTACATGACCTTATGAGAACAGCGAGGGAGTGTCGATTCTGTTCTTTGGCGCTAAAAGCTGTAAGCATAGTCCGTGCAGCCGAGGATCTGCAGTCTGCTTCGGCCGTGTGCTCTATGACTGTCGAAGCACTTGGTCACACTCATCCTGACTACTATTGTGATACTGATACATATGAGTACATCTCTCGCCTTCGGTTTGATCTTAAGGTTGGAGGTGTAAAGCAAAATTTCTCATACAGTGACGGTATCTAGTCATTGTACCCAACTTACAGTCCTGGTCTCCAGCTTTTTGCTTCGGATCCATTGGACGGGAGCAAAGATTCGAGTCTTCTTGGTCTATGCATCGGCATCTCACAAATGGGTATCTCGTTAAGGAACATTGGCTCTCCTTCTGTGAAGCAAATCATCCCGCTTGCAGCCCAGAGTGTTGGTTCGACAATGCACCTGACCTACTCCTAAGGTCAATCGATGTTAAGCGACGCAAGGTCGTTGAGGCGCCGCACAACTGCAGATGTATGGCACTTAGCTGCGTATGGGGTGATGTGGAACAGTTACAATTGAAGCGTTAGACAATGGCAAGACTAAGAGAAGATGGTGGCGTTTCTGTTGTTACTTCAAAGTCTATCGTGGACGCCATTTCCCTTGTTGAAATATTTGGTTTAGAGTATCTCTGGGTTGATGCCTTGTGCATCATCCAGGACGACGATGAAGATAGGAAAACACAAATAGCTAATATGGATGTCGTGTTCACATGTGCTGTGCTAACAATCGTTAGCGCCGCCGGGTCTGACGCAAATGGAGGATTGCCCGGAATATTTCCTGGGTCGAGGCCCATCACTTAATTCACTGAGAGTTTCAATGGGTTGAACCTGTTAACTTCTCAGTGTCCCTTTTCATGGGCTGTCAGCGAATCTACATATATATATATATATATATATATATGTTCCACATCTAAAATTTTCAATAATTAGTACTAAATTTTAAGTTAAGTATGACTTCTTGAAGTAAAAAATAATAATTAAAATTAAAAAATTAAATTAAATGCTAATGTTACTAAAAATAAAATAAAATGCTAATGTTAATTACAACTAAAAGTGATCATGATCACTTTAGGTTATGCTGTCTATATTAGTTTCAATATTAACAATTATTGACCGATTTTTTACTTGATTAATCTTGATATAAAAAATATATATTAACTATAAAAAAATAATTACAAAATCATATACATTTACATTTTCTTTTTACAAATAAATTTTAGATAATATTTTATTTTTTTAAAAAAATAATCTATGTTTCTTGCAAAAATAGTATTTTTTGGAATTCATTATTTTTAATAAAAGTAGGTAAAATATCATATATGCCCCTGAAATTTGCCGAATGTCAAAAATACCCATGTATTCTATTCCTCCCTTTAGTGATAATTGCAAAGCATGATCGATGGACTTGAGCGTTGGATTGCGCTTCATCACAAACCAATCATCTAGAAACGGACGCAACTCTGTGCATCGGATTTGAGCTTGGCCTTCACATCAAGCCCGAGGTGGTTTGCAACTGAATCTTCTTCATTTTGAAACCAATTTATTTCTTCTTTTGTTACTGTTAGCCAGCATTCAGAATATCATACACTCCTTGAGATTTGTTGCTGCCTTGAGACCCAGACCTGCTTCTTAATATACACTCACATTTCTTCAACTGGATTACAAACTAGTTGAGCAATTAATAGTCAAGTGCATTGACAACTGCGTTACCTAAAATCAATGAGTGAAGATTATCTTAATAACAATCAGATTATGTAGACCAAGTGGGCTTTTAAACTTACAGAAAAAGGTGACAAACTGCAACTTTTGCAGTTTTTGATTTGCTGAAGCTTCTTAGGTAGCAATTCTAAGTTTAGCACATCTAGTTGTTTTATGATTTTTGGATTAATTTATCTATGCACCAATTGCTACCTAATCACTAGAAAAAAAAAAAAAAAAAAAAAAAAAAATTGGTGCTTAGATAAATTAGTCCAAAAATTACAAAAAAATTAAAAAAAAATAGATGTGGTATTTTTTATTTTTTATTTTTTTCAAATTTTCAAATTTTCATCTGACACCAAGATGTTTAAGATCTTTTAGTTATTTATTTATTTATTCAATTCCAATTTTTATTTATTTAAATTCAAAAATAATTATTTCAAAAAATATTTATATTTAAGATTTTTAAAAAAATATTTATATTTGTAGTTCAATAAATAATGAACCATTCATAATTTAATTTTTATAAAAATAGTAATAATAATTTCAAACAACCATTTTAGTTTTATATTTAATCTCCAAACTACACATAATATTGGTCATCATTGTTTCTTTTGAAAATTTCTAAAACATTTTAAAAATATTTGAACATATTTATACATATAATTTATTTTTTTTAAATTTTTAAAAAGATAAGATCTTACAATGACATTTTCAAGATACTAACAAGTCAATTATAACAATTGTTAAAAGTTGGGATTTTTTCAAACTTATTTTTGATAGTAAGACACTTTAAGAATTTGTGAAAGAATGAAGTTCTATCTGGTAGCTTCAGTACTTATTCTAGATCTCTTACTAGTGTCTTTGTAACTTTAGAAATATTAATTCATTTTAAGATACCACCAAATCTTAATAGCAAAAAATAAATAAAAATAATAATTTATGTCTGTATTATCATTTACAAGATTTTATTAACCTTTTCATTTTTTTATTATATTACATAATATTATTCAAAATAAATAAAATAAAATCCTACTTTTATTTCTTTAGATGGTTACAATTTTATGGATTTTATTTTTTATAATTTTATAATAAAAATAAAAAAATCTATAAATTGATGATTAATTTATAAATAATATTAAAATAAAAATTTGATTTATTTCAATGAGTGCTTAATATGCATTTATCTTTAATATTCTGACATAAAGATAATTTGTGTCAATTAAGACAAATCATATTGTTCTATATCTTATTCTAAATTTTAAAAAAATTAAAAAAAAAATTATTATATTATAAATTTTAGTTAAAAAATATATTTTTGATTAGACATACACACATCTATATATGTATGAAAATATACATGTATCAATATAAAAATTTAAACATCTACTTCAAAGTTTAATGTAAAAATAAATAAATAATAGTTTTTTTAGGCAATTTGTCATATGATTACATTACAAAGATTTTCTTGCTACACTTTAAAAAAAAATAATGGACGTGGCTATATACAATCAATTTTTTATTGTAATCAATAAAAAGTTATATGTTATTTATTTTAAGTCTAAAATAAAATAATATTCCTTTAAAATATATATATATATATATATATATATATTTAATTTAGTTCAAAATTTTCTTCATATTTTGATTCAAAATATAATTATTAAAAATAAAATCAAACATTACATTAATTAGTGCTTCAATAACAAAATAAAATTGGTTTTTTGCAAGATAAGCAATTATGCCCAGTATTTTTGCATTGACTACATCTAATCACTCTTTTGGTTGTTTCCATATCCTTTGTATGGATGCGACCCTTTAGGAGATAACTAGATATATGTCATGTGAAGAGTGGTAGGATTAGAGTGACATCAATTTTATTGTTGCTTGGTTTTGTCCAATGCTCAATGGATCGTATTGAGGTGATGGCTACTACATAAATTTCTTATTAGACTTGAATAGTTTGAAAGTAAGTAATATAATCAGCAACTGATTGTTACATGAATAACATAATGCTAATTGCATGCACACATGGGATTCTAGATAGCTGCCATTGATTGTAAGTATATATGTGGTTTTATAAATTTAAGTCAAATGAGTATTCTGACATGCATTCAAAGATGGTATAGAATAAAAGAATGATGCAATAGCCATATGCAAATATCAGTAACTATTGAATTTATTAATGTGCACTAGTTGACAATGATCCAATAATTGCGTTTGTAATAATACGTCACTCATTATACCATGCTATGAATTGACAAAAAATTATTTTTAGCATCAGAATCAACAGTATCTCATGTGCTTCTAAGATCTAGGAATTTAAAGATTTTGTAATATTCAAAGTCATGTGGCCAAATTGGTTTTTGTCAAATTATGAAAATATCTAATATTGTGATCCAATTTTCATCAAATACTATGCAACTTCTTCAGATATAGCCTAAACTTTTGAGAGTTTGATGTTGAAATTTGAAATAGTTGATGCATGTATTGCTGCCCAGAGATGTCATATAAGCATTGGATTTTTAAATTGTCATTGTAATTTTTCAACTAAATGGTATATGAAAAATGAGTATTTGCATATGGGAAATATAAGATTGATAGCATCAATAAGACCTTTTTGTTAATAAGACAAAAATGTGAACTTTGAAAGTTTGTAGTTTAGTGGATGGGATGTAAGAATTGGTGTCTTCACTTTTTGTAAGAGCCATAGTCAATAGTCACTATTTTCAACATTCACAATACTAATGCAATAGGAATTAGTTGCCCATTTATATTAATTGTTATAGCAGCAAGGAATATCTCACAATATTTTTTTATAAATGAGAGATGTTTATGGCAATGACAAGTTAACAATGTTGCGAGCCATATAAACTTCTATTGTATGCAACAAACAATTAAAGAAAGCAATTTTATGCATCAACTTCTAATTTTAATGTCATTGATGTAGGATTAAAAAACAAAAAATAGATAGCTTATTAAATTGAAGGGCACATTAGCAAGTATCACAAAAAAGAAGGATAGATTTGATATTATCAAGAATACATGGGTATTTTTAATATTTTGGAAAATTTCAGAAGTATGTATGATATTTTTCCATAAAAATATAAGGATTCTAAAAATATTCACTGAATGTCATAAATTTAACAACTTTTAGATTTAAATTTATAGAAATTATAATATTTTCTTATATATATATATATATATATATATATGTATCTATATAATTGTTTATCTAAATAAATTACCAAATAAATAAATTTTAATATTAAAAATATTATTAATAATAAAATTCTTTATTAGATGTCTTATATAATAATTAATTTAAATAAAACTTATTTTATGTATATTTAAATATAATTTAAACTAATAGAATAATTTTTTTATTAAACATATAGAACATAGCTATTGTATTATATAATCTAAGACTACTCATGTTGTAATTATTAATACACTTGTAACTATAAATCAAAAATGTGTATATATATATATATATATATATATATATATATATGTTAAAAAAATTAACCATAAAGTAATAAGAACATATTATTTGAAGACTAGAATATAAGTGATGTGGTGACAAGATTAAGAATAAATTCAATCCTATTTATACCAAATTACACAAAGATTGTATAAAATCTATTTAAGAACCTCAAAGCTTGCAAGATAGGAGTCCAAGATGTAAAATACTTCTATAATATTTTATAGATTTAAAATAATAAATAAATAAATAAATAATAATTTAAATAACTTTTTATTGCTACTAAAATTTTTAAAAATGCTTATAGATCTAATAGCATCTAAGAAGCTTCTATAATATTTAATAATAAAATATTATTTATTAAAAAAATATTAAATTCCATATACCTTCATATTTTTTTTAAAATACTTCTATTTACTTAGATTGTTATAATTATTTTTGTGTGCTCCAATGACCATTTAAATTTATTTAGTTTTTTTTCTATTCATTATTGTTTCATTAGATATCTTAAATAATTTTAAAAGAATAAAGTATACCACTATTTTTTATTTAGAATTATTTCAATATATTAATTAAATAGAAGTTATATTTATCATTTTTCTAATTTAAATATAAAGTAGATTTGATATCTATTAATAAAAAAGAAATACTTGAAATACTAATAGATACTCAAAGTCATAATATTTATTAAAAATATAATTTATTGATATTTAAATATTCTAATTTATTTAAATGTAGTAAAATTAATTAATTAATTAAATAAATAAATTTATATCTATAAATTATTTGGAATAATCAAAAATTATTTTATTGTGACTTATTCAAGACAAATTTTAAAACTTCTTACAGAATTCTTTGACTTTTAGTAATATTATACCAAATTTTTAAAAATTATTTCTATTTAATATAATACTATTATTTTAAAATATTTTCTATTGGCTAATGAACTTTTATCTTGATGGACCAAATATCTACAAATCTATACAAACATAATTGGATAAAATAAAATAATTGATCTAAATACATCTAAAATATAATAGACGAGTACATTTTATAATAATATATATGATAAATTTTATACAACTTAAAGTCATCCTACTACATATTTTGAATATATCAAATACACATTAAAATTTAATTGTAGTTCATTTTTATCCAATTTGATATGTATTTAGTTTTAAAATAGTTTAAAAATAATTAAAAATAAATATTAATTGGATTAAAGAAAATTTTAGTAGCTATACATATACTACTTATATAGCTATAATCTTGTTGTTTGAGCTTTTAATACCTTGCTAATTAACCACCATTGGAAACTTGTTTATAATACTTATTAAATAAGTTATTAGTATATATATATATATATATATACTTACAAGACTTTTTAATCAAATTTTTCAAGAAATTTCTTAAAAAAAAGACTTGATACAACTTATTTCTAGAATTTCTTACCAAATGCTTTTACAAAGTTTTGTTTTTAAACATTCTAAGATCTTTATTTAAGAAAAAAAATGCAATTAAGTTCTAGAAGAGTTTATAAATTTATACTTGTAATACTTGAATTTATAATATATAATATTTTATACTTTTATAAAATCTAGGATCAAAAATATGTGTGTTATGTGGTTTATCATTAAAAATAAAAATAATGTAAAAAGATTGTGGATTGATTTGACTTTGAACAAAATACACACAACTAAATATTCTCCTCTCAAACAAGACAAGCTTTTATCCTAACGGTCACATGCGTTTCAAATCTGCTTGTCAAAAGAAGTGCATATTGGAAGTGAGAGGAAGTGCAGTATTAATTTCAAAGGGAGCTCGGGTTCCCACTTGCGATCTAAACAAGAAACAAGCAGTAACATATTGCACGATATCTCTACTTCAAGGTCAACATGCTTATGAAATTAGTAAGTCGTATTTGAATTAATCGCCTGTTAACATGTAAACCAACAAGAGATATTTTGCATTGAAATCAGGGCACGTTCTTAAATAACTGATCCAATCCTTTTCATTGTAAGGATATTTATTTCAAACTGGTACGCAATGAATAGCAAACCATTTGTATATTAATGAAGCTATCCGAATAGATCTGCCCAAGGATAGGCTATAATTCTACGCAATATACTAATATCACCTTCACAAGTGGACAAAAGCACATTGAAGATATGAATACTGGTGTACAGATCCCACATTCGAACCACTGAGACTTATAAGAAACACCGAGTGCATTGTTTTTGTAAATCCTACGGCCATGTAACAACTGTGCACCATAGGTATTACTCAGAAAAGAAATTGGAACGAAAATTGGTAGACCAATGCAGCCTCCAACGTGACACCACAGTATGACTGTTCCACTTAATCAGTTAAAATCACAGATTTGGATCTTTTTTCTTGCTGATCCGTCGGTCGATGTATGCATGATGGAGACGTTACTGAGGTGCAACAGCTTGTGAGCGGTAATCACCTTACTAATTCTGTCGAATCAGGTCTGAGAAAACCAAAGTTGGTGCACTGATGTGTAGTAGTTCCTGTATGGTCATGTCAGAATGATAATGTGCACCTCCCAATCTCAATATGAGCACATCTCGAAATTCTATCCTTGAAGGTATCCCGCAGAATGGAAACTGTTAGGACATCACGAGTGATCTTCACATCTGTGCCTTGAGTTGCCGTTCCAGATGTCCAAACAGAGATAGCAACGACACACAAGCTAAATGCATGATGTCACCATCACCTCCGCAAATTTCAGACCCTTCGCACATCCTCATTTACGAACATCCCATCAACTCTAGAAACTCCTGAAAATCCACATGGCCATCCCCATCTTTGTCCACGCTATTGATCATTTGGCGGCATTCTTCAATTGAATGACCTTTGTCTCCAAGACTGACCAAAACAGACTGCAATTCGTTCGCAGAGATGCGACTGTCTCCATCCTTATCAAACATTTGAAATGCATCTCTCATTGGATCCATATCGGGAGAAATCTCGCCGTTGAGAACTCCAGGCTTGCTAGACGTGTGAAATGCAACAAACTCAGCCAAGCTAATAAACCCGTCATTATCCGTATCAACCTCCTCCATAATTTGGACAATCTCCTGTTCCGAAATTGCACCGCAAAGAGACGTAAGAACAGAACTAAGCTCCGCCAGCGAAATCCTTCCGTCTTTATCAGCGTCATACACCTTGAACGCTTTCTCCATCTCCTGGTCGGACTTCGAACCAGACACCACCGGTGGAACAGTTACTCCACCGCCATTCTTTTCCGAATTGGTTCGCTTCGACCTCAAGTTAGCCCTACTCGTTATCTTAGACATTATCCCTTGCTTCCCTGAACTCTCGTCCTTCGGTGCCTTCACCGCCACTTTTCTATTAACCTTCGGAGAAACAGAGGTGCCCGCGGCTGGAACTACAGGCCCGCCGTTCCCATTCCCATTTCTACTATAATCCAACGTCCCGCTCTCCTGCTTCTTCGACTTCCCAAGGCTCGCAAATCCCTTCATCTTACCACTCTTGGAAACAAAAATTTCCACGCCTCTCTTCCAACTCCCTGTCACACAGCCCCTGCCTATCTATCACACTGTCTCGAAGAAAACCCTAAAATATCCTGCAGAAGCGCAATAATACTAGTTCAGCAGACAGGAACCTCACAAGGCAACTTCCAGTTGGATCTCTTACAAAGCTCCATCAGCTAGTTCAGAGCGCACAGAACCATGGTGCAGGCGAGGAGTCACACTTATACGCCCTCCTGTCGGCGTGTAAATTCTGTGCTGGCAGACGAAGGAAGCTTCGACGATAGTCCGAAGTCCACATTACCGCCGATTCTTCGTTCCTTCCCGCCACCGAGTGCTCTAGTCACGATGCTGCCGTCAACTAAGGCATCGTGGTCGTCCAGCTGTAACAAGCCTGTTTGGTGGCTTTTCCCGCGGTTTAACGAAGACGCGATTCTACACTTTGTATACGTGTCGTATGGGTCACTTCAGTATGCTTCACTTTGGCATTGTTACATGGAAATTTATTTTTATAAAATTATAATTTTATAAAAAAATTAATAAAAATTTCAAAAGATTATTACTTTAGTCACCTATTATAACTTTTTACAATCTTTCAAAATTTTTATATATTCTTATTATTATTTTTAGACTTTAATATCCTTCATAATGTACTAAAATCTTCTAATGCCTTCTAGAAGTTTTAATAGAATATTCTTTGTAGTTAAAGAATAATATTTAGAAAATTTTATAGAATCTACTTGCCTTTATTAAAAATAAGAGGACTTTATAAAGATCACCTAATTTTTGCCAACTCCAGTTTTAGAGCAATCTAAGTTTTTTCTTGTTTCTAAACATAAATCATATCTTGTTTCTATTCTAAAGTCTTATTTTTCTTGTGCTTCTTAACTTCTTTTTTTATAATTCTTATATCCTAATAAATATTAATTCTATAAATATATCTATTCATGACTTAATATTAATATTTTTTATTATAAATCTTATTAATATGTAAATTTATGAATTTTTTTGTACAACTTAAATGCCATAAAATTATAAAAATTAAATTAAAATATTTTTTTAAGAAAATATTAAATGAACTTAGGATTTCACTAAATTTATCCACCTATACTAACCATCATGGAAAAAAATGACCTCTAGATTCATTTATCTATTGTTCAATCTAAAACCAATGAAAATCAATCACATTTATTATGATTATCATATTCTTCATTATACATAGGTCAATCTAATAAAAATGTAGATCTATTTGATATCTTTCTTATTTTATAATATTTAATATCTATTTTTAGTTTTTTACTAGTAAAAATAGTATCAATTATATTAGCCTAATAATAGTTTTAGAAAATTTTGAGATATTTTTCAAATCATTAAATATTTTTTATTATAAAATAATTTAATAACATGTAAAAAATTAAATATTTTATATATATTTCTTATATTATTTTTAATTAAATCATAATTAATGATAATGTAATATTATTTTTAAAAATTTATATGCAATATATGTACTTATAAACATGATATATATAAAAAATCTTCCATATTTTGCATTAATTCCATGAAATATATGAAAATAAAATTAAAGTTAAAATCTTAAAAAATAATTCATTATCATATTATAGATTTGAATATTTAGTGTTTCTAAATTTTTTCTATCAAATTGATTTGATTTGTAAAACTATGTAATCCACTATAAACATATATTTGATTAAATTGTTTGAATAATAGTTTTTAAAAAATTAATATAGTAATTGATTATTTATAAGAAATATTCTTAATAAATGTCTTATTATTGATTCTATTTCAAAATTAATTGAATTGAATTTATTTTATCTTATTTTATTTTTGTTATTTTGAACAATGATAAATTTATATATAATAATAAATGTAAAATTAATTCAACATAATCATTACATGGATAAGCAACTTCACTCCTTTCATGAAAACTTATGCTAATTCAACTTTACTAACAATGTCTTCTAACAAAAAATCTTCTCAAGCATCTTAATTCTCACAATTATGAATTCATAATCAAGCACAGTTTGTAATTTTTTTGCAAACACATGTAAAATATGCTTATCATGTGATATAATATTGGGTGCCAAATTCCATCAAATATATGTAGTTTAATTTGGTTAGTGGTTTTTTATCCATTAATAGTTTTTTTATTAATTGATTTTGTTCATATCAACTTAGATTTGAATATTTAAATAGAAAAAAATGCTTGACTTGATTATCTTATCAAGTCAAGTCTTATAAGTAATTTGAGAGTGAGAGACCTTATTATAAGGCTTTGCTTCACTATAGTGATCTAGCTATTTTAGTAAAGCTTTAAGATTTTCCTTAAATTTACACTTCTATGTTTAGATTCCTCTTTTGTGGTGTCACAGATAGATTAATTTAGTTTTGTGTAGATTCCTAATCTTTCATTTGATAAGAATATCTTCTTTTCTTCAATTTGTAATATATCAAGTTAGAATGAAGTAAATCTTAAAAAAATAAAAAATAAATTACAATTTAGATTTTTTTTTGGAATAAGATTCTAAGCATTGATGTGTTGAGGCATTGAAATCCACGTGTACTACATTTTTTTGTATTGGAGCCATATAGTGACAAAATACAATATAATATTAGATGGTGCTAGAACTAGATTGTGCAAATTGTAGAGCATGGAGTTGTAGCACTAGTGTAGGTCGTGGGAACATGGTTGCGGAGATGAGCTGTAGCATAAGGATATAATACAATAAGGTTGGTGAAGTAGTGCAAAATAAAGAAAGTAGTGAAAAGATGCTAATTTGCAATGTAGATTGAGTTGCTAAGTAAAACATAAGTCAATTGCAATCAAGTTGACATATTCATTGTAAAACAATAGGCTATTTATTTATTTATTTATTTTTTGATGATAACAAAGTATTGTATAAGAGTTTGGTGCATTGTGGCACAAAGGCTCAATCAAGATTATAATATAGGATTTTGGTTGCAAGAGCAATGTGATGCAAGAAGATTTTGATGCGTTAGGATGTAATAAGCTCATCAAGCATTATGTAAATAGACAAAGTTGTTGATACAAAGGTACTTGGTGCAAGGTATTTGTACTTGTGGTGGAGGTATACATTAAAAATTGATATCTTGTAATGACTAGCGACAATCAACAATAAGAGACAATGGAAAGCTCACTCCAAGTACATATAGAGTCTAAATTTGATTATTTTTTAATCAATTTTATACAAAAGAGGCCTAAAGAATCCAGTGGCATGTTCAATTTTTAGAATAGAAATTATTTAGAACATGGAAGTGGTATTTACTAAATATTGATTGCTTTCTAAGTAAATTTTTGATTTTGTTTTACTTCTCCATATTTCATTTTATTGTAAGTGTCTTTTATTGTCACAAGTTCTAAAATTTATAAACATTAACCATAGATGGATGCTAGTTTTTTTAATTTACTTTTGATTTTTTCTTGTGTATTATTAAAAATAAAGATTAAATATAGATTTTTAGATTTTATTTTTGATATCTTCTTTTAGTTACAAATATTATTTCTAGAGGTTTTATATGCTTATTCTATTTTGTATTTATACTAGTTTGTATTGATAGGCATACTATAGAAATAAAATTGGATTGATGGCTAGTGAGATCTTTTTGTTTATAGATATATTGGAATTGAGTAATTTAAAGATGATTGCCATTGAACTACAAAATTTGGTAGTGTTTGTAAGTGCAAGTTACCCTTGTAGCCTTTAAATAGTCACAAATACTCAAGTAGTTTCTTTTTTGGTGCATATTAAGAATTGATATTATCTATTTCTTTTACTAGACTACTTAGAAAATTTTTACATCAAGGACTTTGGACTAGGAGTAAATACTTATAAGGCTTTTTAGTCTGTTTTAATATTGGATACTATTCCAAGACTTTAGATCTTAGAGGTATAGATATTTTACAAATTAAATAATAATCCTTACAATATAGTTAAAGATAGATTCTCAAGAAGAGTTGAGGGCATTTCTTTGTCGAATTAGAAACTTAAGTTTCAAACATAGATGAAGGAGAAGCATCAAAGATCTCTCACTTTCAATAAGTGGTATACCTTTGAGCTCTTATCACAACATTTGGAGCACAAGGTGCTCCAAACCTATAGAAAATAGCATGAGAAACATTCATATGAGTTGCATAAAGTAGAGCATTATTAAAAGGTAAGTATAAATTTTATTTTAGCTCTTAAAGAGGGTGCTATTTCAAGCTTAATGCCTATAATGAAAAAAGAAGATCCAATCTATGAAAAAATTTCTACATCTTTAGAAGATAATAAAAGAAAAAAAGTAGTTATTACTTTAAGCAATACTCCACATACTTTGTCTTGCAATGAATAAGTATTGAAGGTATTTTTATCTAAAGTAAAAGAATCAATATCATTTCAACTTCTCCAAATGTTTATTAAGTACTTGAAGCACAAATATAGAGGTTTTAGGTGTCATCAAATGCAATGCATTTAAGACTTTTATTGTAAAAAAAATACTTTATATAACATACATACTTGTTTAGCTCAATTTGTAATAGAATCAAAAGATGTGTTTACTGAGAGCCAATTTGTTAAGATTTTCTTATCTAAAATTGACAAAAAAACTCTTAAATTTAGCTATACTAAGAATTATTTTCAACCATAATGATAAGGCAACATTAGCACCAGTATTTGCTGAAGTTGAGAAATGCAATAAGATACTTTATCAATATGATGCTATTAACATGGTAGTTTGAATAATGGATGAGTTAAGATCCAAAAAAATTGCAATTGTGACAAGTAACTTAGCAAAAATTCAACTTGAAAGGACTATGTATAATTAGAGGTGTCATGAATCTAATCACACAAAGAATGATTTCAACTATCCCAAGAAGAAGAAAGTCTTATACATGAAGAAGTCTAAGCCAAAAGTTGAGATGGCTAAAATAGGAAATAAATCTCAAAAGAAGCAATTAAATTGTATTCATTGTAATAAGCTTAATCACAATGAAGATAATTGCTTCATATTACATTTATACAAATGACATATTTTAGGTGAGGAAAAAAATTTAGAAGCTAAAATTGCTAAGCTAGAAAAGAGATTTAATAGCATAGCCTCATTGGGCTAATTCATTAGATCTCATGTGACTTCTAGAGGTGGAATAAGTTCTTTTTTTCTAAAAATGTATATGTTTAGTGCATCAAGAGAAAT